CAACCTGCAGTGAGTGGCAGAAAGATGGCTCGTTGCCACGGCAACCCCATGGGTCACAGGCAGCCAGAGACCCATGGCAGAGCCTAGCAGTCCGCACCAGGCTGAGCCCATAGAGGCAGGCACCTGGGGACTTGCTGGTCCAGGCTCAGGCCTCACACACAATTTGAGCCGCTTGGGTGGGAAGCAGGGCTGGGCCAGGCCTGAGCACTTCTCAGGAAGCCCCATGTGTAGACAGAGCCTCTGCAGTGCCACAAACCCAAGGGGGCGTGAGACACAGAATTTTCCTCAAACTTTCTGGCATCCGAGTGCAACTATCACCCAGGAGCTGACGCAGAGCAGCTGGGAGAAGAATGGGCTGAGCTATGGAGAAAGCTGCTGCCGGATCGGGGTGGTCCGGGCATGAGGCATGGACCGGGGATAAGACAGCAGCCTGCACAGACCCACCCTAGGCGGCTCAGGGGGGTTGGTCTGTCCCACAGTGGCAGCGTTGGTATGGCTTGTCCTAGAGCCCTAGGGCTGGCAGCGACCTCAGGAGTCATCGAGTCCAACCCCTGCCCAAAGCAGGACCAACCCCAACTCAGTTATCCCAGCCAGGGCTTTGTCCAGCCGGGACTGAAAAACCTCTACGGGTGGAGAGTCCACCCCCGCCCTAGGGAACCCATCCCCGTGCTTCCCCACCCGCCTAGGGAAATAGTTTTTCCTAATATCTAACCTAGACCTCCCCCCAAGCCACACAAGGGACTTCCGTGCGTCCCCAATAATGTGCTCTCTGTGTTCACCTTGTACTCAAGGCCAGTTCAGCGGGGGAGCTGTTAAAACTCCACATCCCTCCACAGCGTGTTTACATGGGAGGAGAATACAGGAGGCCTGGTATTGCCTGCTCGTCCCCTCTGCACCAGCCAGCTCAGACGCCTCGAAATCCCTCTGGAGCCCTTTCCCAGAAATCACGTGTCTCCAGCCCTGTGTCCCCTCCCATCCGGTCACTGCTGCCAGCCTGGCCTTTTTCCAAGGCGTGCAGAGCAAAGGGATTGCAGATTGGGACATGACTCCCCCTTCCTGTGCTGTGTGGGCTGGCGGGGAGCCTGTCCCCCTGAGGGGAGGAGATACCCCCTGTGCCCAGGGACGGGGTTTTCAACCCTTTTCTTTCTGAGCAGCCCCCTCCCCTCACACGCTGCAGAGACCCCATAGCATCTTCCCCTGCTCAGGAGACCCCACAGATTCTGCCCCTGCTAGGGAGACCCCGCAGCATCCACCTCTGCTAGGGAGACCCCACAAAGTCTGCCCCTGCGAGGGAGACCCCATAGAGTCAAACCCCATAGCATCTGCCCCTGTTAGGGGGACCACACAGATTCTGCCCCTGCTAGGGAGACCCCGCAGCATCCACCTCTGCTAGGGAGACCCTGCAAAGTCTGCCCCTGCTAGGGAGACCCCATAGAGTCAGACCTCATAGCATCCGCCCCTGTTAGGGGGACCCCACGGATTCTGCCCCTGCTCGGGAGACCCCGTAGCATCCGCCCCTGCTCGGGAGACCCTGTGTGATGTCCTCCTGAGGTAAATCCAGTTTGAACTGGAACCTGTTTACCTGTTTTCTGCCAAAGGCGGGAAAATCAGATTCCGGGCAGGCGGCTTGTCTTCCATTTTGTTTTACAAAATGGATGACAGTTCCTCCATTTTGATTTTTTACAGGCATACCCTTATAATAGCCAACATTACAAACCAGCCGTTGAACTACTTAGGGTTTTCCCCTGAACACTCTGCTGGTCATAAGCTCCCGAACGCTCCCCTCTCCCACAGAGAACAATCACAGGACACATTTAAAAATCGTGAGATACTTTAAAGCAAAAGAGTTATTTGTACAGCACCTAGCGCAGGGAAGTCCGTGGCCCAAGACTGGGCCTGCTAGCCACAACCGTAACACACCTAATTAATAACGTACAGCACCTAGCATGGGGGAATTCCTGGTTCAAATCTGAGGCTAGTAGATACTTCTATAATACACCTAATAAATAACATACAGCACCTAGCACAGGGAGGTTCATGGTCCAAGACTGGGGCTTCCAGACACTACCATAATACAAGTATCAGATTGTTATTCTGAATCTGCAAAAGCGGCGAGGAGTCCTGTGGCACGTTATAGACTAACTGAAGTGTAGCAGCATAAGCTCGCCGCTACCATAATACAGTAATTCCTCATTTAACACTATAGATGCGTTTCTGAAAATGTTCCTGCTAAGCGAAAACATGCTATGTGGGGTCAATTTTCCCATTAAAAATAATGGAAAAGATGAAGTTTGTGTATCAGGTGGTGATGGGAAAGTCAGTTTTTTGTGGGTGCTGGGTTGTCGACGTCAGTATTAGATATCTAGCAATACAAGATAACTAGCAACACAAGTAACACAAGATAAACACGTGAGTGAGCAGAGGAGCGCTGTGACCACGTGTATTCATCCCCTCATGCGTATTACCACTGTTTTCACCAACTTATACCGCCGCGCGAAGTAGTCTGCCACTTGATTATTTTTGTGTTACAGCCAGTCCCCGAGTTGCGAACGGTCAACTTACGACCGTTCGCATTTATGACCGAAGCTGTTGTAAATGGCGGATCCCGAGTTATGAACGTGATCCACGCTTACGAACAGCGCAGTCATGTGCAACTCTATGGGGTCCAACTTATGAACGAACTGAGTTACGACCAATTGCTTGGTCCATAACCAGTTCGTAAGTCGGGAAGAGGCTGTACTACCGTGTTTGGGAAATTGTGTAATAATCTTTAATCAGTTTCTCTTATTAACATAATATTATGAAACTTAACTGTATTTCGGGGACAGTCGTGTTATTCAAAAAACATTCCCTAAAAAAAAATCGTGCTATTGCGAAAATGTGTTAAGCGGGAATATGTTAAATGAGTAATTACTGAACACATAAGAAATAAAGTATAGCTCTTAGCGTGGGGGGAGGAGTTCCAGGTCCAAAACTGGGGCTACTGTCCACTACCGTATTACACCTAATAAATAACATACAGTACCTAGCACGGGGAGGTCCATGGTCCAAAATTGGGGCTGCTAGACACTACTGTAATACACCTAATAAATAATGGACAGCGCCTAGCACAGGGAGGTCCATGGGCCAAAACTGGGGCTGCTAGACACTACTGTAATACACCTAATAAATAACGGACAGCACCTAGCACGGGGAGGTCCATGGTCCAAAACTAGGGCTGCTAGACACTACCGTAATACACCTAATAAATAACATGCAATTCCTAGCATGGCAGGGGTGTGTGTCCAAAACTTAAAAATTTCTGAAGTGGCTCCCAGAAAAAAATTATTGCCCATCCCTGCTGTAGAGGCTTCCACTCTGGAGGTTCAAATCTGCCCAGTAACGGAGCAATGTTTTGCTGTCAGAAGGAAGTTGTGATGCAGGGCTGTGTGAGACCCCCTGCTGCGCAGTCGGGTTCAGGTCCTATAAAAAATTTTTTTTTTAAATGCACTAAGAGCAGCTTCCAAAGCAGGGACTGGCTCCAGAGCTGGGCATGCCGGGGCCAGAGTGGTTGGGGTCTAAACCGTGGCCGAGGGTCCTTCCTGCATGCAAAAAAACAGACACACGGAAACAGTCCCCAGGGGACTGGCGTGCAGCCCAGCTAGATTATAATCAGCATGAAACAGTCTCTGGCATTGAACTTCCCATAGGGGTTGGGTCACAGTGGTAGGCTGAGCCTGATTTCTGAGAAATGCAACTGCAAGCAGGAAGCTGCTCATTCTCCAGTCAGAAGAAATTCTGGTAAGCGAGGGAACCTGGCGGGTGGGGAGTGATTTGCGTCTAACACTGCGAGCTAAGTGATGGGGCAGCAGCCACAAGAAGAGGGATAGAAATGTAGCCGTGTTAGTCTGGGGTAGCCGAAGCAAAATGCAGGACAATGTAGCACTTTAAAGATTAACAAGATGGTTTATTAGATGATGAGCTTTCGTGGGCCAGACCCACTTCCTCAGATCAAATAGTGGAAGAGGGGCTGTCTGTAACCCAGGGCCAAAGGAGCGGGGCAGGCTGGTGGAGAGACCCCTGGAGCAAGAGGGGAGGGTGGGACCAGTGGGTGGTGGGAGCCTCTTGATTCAACCCTGGGTTAGTTGAGGGTGGTGCCAACGAATGCACATGAAGCCAGCTCTGTGTTTTGTTAGTTCTAAGGTGCGGTCGGAGGATTTGCTGGTTTTTTAAGTTTTTCCAGTGACAGACTAATTCAGCTCCCCCTCTGAAGCTCTGGATTAGTGTGTGTCTTCTTGTATTTCAAATCTCTGCAGTGAGGAAAGTCCCCCTCTCTCCCTGCCCTTAGCCTGGCTCTGAAATTCAGCCAGGGTCACAGAGCAGGAAGAAAGCAAGCGCTGAGTTGTCATTGTTTGCTGGCTGGGAGGCACAAAGGCTAGTCGGAGGAAGAGTCCTGGGAGCAGACGCAGGGGAATCTGGACTCTCATTGGTTGTACGGGCTTGAGTTTAGTTTCTGTTGATGTTTAATCTTGGGTTCGTGTGCAACGTTCAGTTTCCCGTCTGACATTTTGCGCCACTTTAGGGTGGGGAACTTGTTTTTGGGGGGTGGGTGGGAGGCCACAGAGAAGCAAAAAACAACCAAACATCCCAAAAACCCTGAGGAGAAAGACATGTCCCACATTCTCCTCGCACATCAGAGCCTGGGGTGAGGCAGGCTAGTAGATTCTATGGGCCCCCCTACACTCTGGAGGGGGACCAAAAATGAGGGGTTCGGTGTGTGGAAGGAGGCTGCTGGAAAGCAGGTTTGGGGTATGGGGGCTGGATGGGTGGGTTCAGGAGTGGACTTGGGGTGGGAGGGCCAGGCAGGAGCGGAGGAGAGTGTGGGGACTGGCTGGGAAGGGACTGCAGGCCTGGAGCATCAGCTCCAGCTCCTTGATCCTGGGGAGGCAGGGGGGCAGCCCTGAACCTCAGGGGCCAGATCCAAGCAAGCCGGGGGCCAGATTTGGCCCTCGAGTGTCAGTCCCACACCCCTTCTAGACCCTTCAAAGCCTCCTTTTTCCACTGCCACTAACTCAGCTCTCTCAGTTCCATCCTTATTATGAATTCTTTATATCGCGGCCGTGCCAGGAGCCACAAACCTGGGGCAGACCCTCTTTGTGCCAGGCGCTGTACAGACAGAGAACAAAAAAACACAGCTGCCCCCACAGGGAGTTGAAATCCCCCATGCAATATGGCCCACAGCTCCACTTCCTTCTTATTTGACGCCAGGAGGCTTCGTTCACTCCCCGGCCCTCTGCAAGAGGAACTAAAACAAGCCAATTGCACAACCAAATTTGGCAAATGTGGCTGTAGTCAGCCCAGATAAGAGCACGAGTTACTGGTGCCTCCTTGGGGCAGAGATCGCAGGCTGAATCCAAAGGGGTCAAAGGGTTGATATGTCTGTCACCTGCTGATGAACGTATGTTACGCTCCTCTCTGATGATCTAGAGCAGGGGTGGGTAATAATTAATGATGGGGGCGTATCCCAAGTTTTGGGCAAGGACCAGACATTTCTAGGGAAGGAGTACGGGGTCTGAGACGGAGGTTGGGTGCAGAAGAGGGCTCAGGGTAGGGGACTAGGGTGCAGGAGAGGTTGGGGGGTGTGAGAAGGAGTTTAGGGTAGGGGACTAGGGTGCAGGAGAGGTTGGGGGGTGTGAAAAGGAGTTTGGGTGAAGGAGCCGGGGTGTGACATGGGGCAGGGGAATGGGATGCAGTCTAGGAGGGGATATGGGTGCAGGAAAGGATTCTGGTCTGGGAGAGAGGTAGAGGGTCTGGGTGGGTGTTGTGACCTGAGGGAGGCGGGGGTGCAGAGGGTTTAGGTGGTGAGCTAGGGCAGGTAGTTGTGGGGAGAGAGGATGTAGATCGGGTTCTACTGGTAGATCTTGGAGCCTCTGACAGGCGACCCTGACTGGTTTGACCAAGAAGCTAGCATCCAGTGTTTTGACAGCAGCTGCCTGTCCCCCTATTGCGGCTCATCTCCTGCCCTTTGCATTTGAACTGCCTCCTCCCATCCCCAAGAGCCTTCTGCTTGCCGTGCAAGGCAGAGGAGGGAGAGGAGGGTACGGATGTCAAGGTGCCCCCTTCTCCCACTTTGTATCCCATCTCCACGGGGAAGAGAGGGGGCACAACAGGACTTGGGAGGGAGTTTGCTGGCTGCTTTAGGGAGTGGTGCAGGGGTGAGCCTGCCTTAGCCCCACTGCACCCCCACCCAGGAGCCACCTGAGATGAGCAGTGCTCAGTCGGAGCCCACATCCTGAAACCCTACCCCAGTCACAAAGCCTTTCCTGCACCCCAAGCACCTGCCGTAGCCCTGAGCAACCCTGCATCCAAACACGCCCCCGGAGCCTGCACCTAGAACCCCCTCCAGCACCCCGACTGCCTGCCCCAAGAGCAGCTCAGAGCCCCCCCTCAGACTCCAGATCCCTTGATCCAAGACCAGAGCCTGCACTCCAACCTGCAGTCCCTGCCTGATGAAAGGGAGGGTAGGTGGGGAAGGCAGGGAGCATGGAGTGAGCAGGGGCAGGGCCTCAGAGAAGGGGCACAAAGGAGGCGGGGCAAGGGGATTTATTTTTGAGGTAGATCTTAGGTTGCACTTCAATTCAAAAAGGGATCTCCTGCTTAAAAAGGTTGGAGACCCCTGGTGTAGGGTGCCAGGCTGTGGCTGGGAGGCACTAAACTAGGTGTCTCCTGGCCAGCAGCCCTGCAGCACCCCAAAGCAGCCCCCCCCGCCTGCTGCAGCCCCAGAACACTTAAAAACGACTAGCTGGTCCCTCCATGTGGCCCTCTGCTCTGAATGCACAGGGGTGAGGGGCAGGAGGCTTCATGGGCTGCCCCCAGCCCGATCTCTCAGGTCCAACTGTCTAGTTGTTTCCAGCCAATAGGAGCTGAGCGGTTGGGCTGGGGGAAGCACACAAAGCCCCTCTCTTCCCCCAGAGCAGAGAGCCTGAGACAGCAGACAGCTGCTTAACATGGCATGGGGCTGCTCTGGGCCTGAGGGTCGTGGCCAGATGGTCTGCCCACCCCTGATCTAGAGAATATGAGTCTAGTACAGCCCTTTTGGTTTTTTAGCTCTGTCCGACTCCCGGAATTCCTGGCATGCTGCATTCTGGGTAATTTTACAGGCCCGCTCTGCGATGGCTCTGGCCCTGTGGGGCGGCAGCGTGCGAAGGGTGGTTTGCCCTGATGCTATAACCACCAGAACATCCGATGCTTCCCTCTGCTTGTACTTGGGGGGTCGTGCAAGGATGGATGGATGGAGGTGCCATAAAACATGGATGGATATGAAGTGTGGATATGAAGGAACAGGCTGGAGTCTTGTGTCCCGTTCTGGGCCCTACATTTCAGGAAAGATGCAGAGAAACTGGAGATGGTCCATGTCATATGAAAGTCATATGTGGGTCCTGCAGCTTAGCAGGGCTTGGATGGAAGTTTCCATCCCTGCTGTACCCAACTTAGCATAGCCTGGGACTCTGCAAGCCCAAACCGCAGCTGGGCTTTCTTAGCTTTAAGCCATGCCTTGAGCTGGGAAACTATTGAGCAGTAAAGAAATCTGACCTCATAAGAAAGGTGTTGAGCCAGATACATGCACATCCGGTAAATAACTGTAGTATAACTAAAAGCGGCGAGGAGTCCTATGGCACCTTATAGACTAACTGAAGTGTTGGCAAAGACCCACTTCGTCAGATGCATGTAGTATAACTAGTGTAGGAAGTTCCTTGTCCACTGAGTCTCACCAGGGACCTATACCTCGGAGGGTGCCCTGGATCCCCCTAGTTGGAACCACGTCCACAGTGGCTGGGTACAAGGTGACCGAAATGGGACTCCCCCCAGATTGAAGGGGTGTGAGCATTTCCAAATGCATTGTTCTGCGTGTGCTTTTTGGTGCATTACTTTTCAGTAGCTGTGTCACCTTCTGGCAGTATTAAGCCACTAACAGTAGTGATGTAGTGAGATTAAGAAAAGCAACTATTGAGCCCTAATTGACTCTGTTTTGAAGCGAATTCACAAGGCTGTTAGGTCCTGTTCCCATGAGTGGCCAGTCCAGAGAAGAGCAACATAAATGAGGAAAGGTCTAGAGAACATGAGCAATGAGGGAAGCCTGAAAGAATTGGGCTTGTTTAGTTTGGGAAAGAGAAGACTGAGAGGGGAAGTGATAGCAGTTTTCAAGTGTCTAAAAGGGTGTCACAAGGAGAAGGAGGGAGAAAAATTGTCCTCCTCGGCCTCTGAGGACCCGACAAGCAGCAATGGGCTTAAAAGCAGCAAGGGAGGTTTAGGTTGGACATTAGGAAAAACTTCCTGCTTGTCAAGGTGGTGAAACATAGGAATAAATTGCCGAGGGAGGTTGCGGAATCTCCGTCACTGGAGATATGTAAGAGCAGGTTGGACACACACTTGTCAGGGATAGTCTAGGTCAGTAGTTCCCAACTGCTGCGCCATGGCAGATCCTGGAACAGGCATGAGGGCTGATTTTGCCCAGCACTGGGGTTGAGGAGGTGGAGCAGGAGACTTGCTCCCCGCCTTTCTGCTCCCCTCTCCCCACCACACACCCCCCCCCAGCACACTCCATATGGCTTTTGTGAAAAGAAAAGTCTGGAGGCTGGGTAAGTCTGTTGGAGAGTTTCCTGCTGGGGTCAAAGGGCACTGGGCATAGGGATGGGGTCAAAGGCTGTTAGGCACTGGGGATCAAGGGGCTGGTTTGGGGGCAGGTGGATAGGCAAACTTTCATTTGCATATTTGCATATTCATTATTCATTCACACGAATACTGCGTATAGATGTGGTCACCTCATCTCAAAAAAGATATATTGGCATTGGAAAAGGTTCAGAAGAGGGCAACAAAAATTATTAGGGTTTGGAATGGGTCCCATATGAAGAAAAATGAAAAAGACTTGGACTTTTCATCTTAGAAAAGAGGAGACTAAGGAGGGAGAGGACAGAGATCTATAAAATCATGACTGGTATGGAAAAAGTGAATAAGAAAAAGTTATTTACTTATTCCCACAAAGTAAGAACTAGGGGTCACCAAATGGAAGGTTTAAAACAAACAAAAAGAAGTTTTTCTTCATTTAGCGCACAGTCAACCTGTGGAACTCCTTGCTAGAGGATGCGGCAAAGGCTAGAACTTTAACAGGGTTCAAAAAAGAGCTAGATAGATTCATGGAGGTTAGGTCTATCAATGGCTATTAGCCAGAGTGGGTAGGAATGGTGTCTCTAGCCTCTGTTTCTCTGGAAGTGGGAGAAAGGGGAGTTATCACATGAGCATTACTTGTTGTGATCCCTCCCTCTGGGGCACCTGGCATTGGCCACTGTGGGCAGACAGGATACTGGGCTGGATCGACCTTTGGTCTGACCCAGTGTGGCCGCTCTTATGTTCTTAAATAACAAAATATGCAATAAAATGTTGCCAAAAGTTGGTGGATGAGTTTGCTGGTCCGCAATATGAGGAAGGTTGGGAACCTTTGGTTGAGATGGTGCTGGATCCTGCCGTGAGGGCCAGGGACGGGACTGAATGGCCTCTTGAGGTCCCTTCCCATTTTCGAGTGCTAGGATTCTGTAGCCCAGTCCTGCATCTCTAGTGCCGACCAGCCTTTGGCCACACTCTCTTCCAAAATTACCTCAGACCCATGCTATACATGGCGAGGGAGTGGAGAGAGGGGGTCTCACTGCATATAATTTGCATGCTGATGGGCTCCTGCCTCCCACAGGATCCTCTCAGCCTTGCTTTCACCCTCTCCCACCTAATGCCTTTCTCTGACTTCTACACCCTTTCCCTCCTGCTCTGGGCTCCACGTTCCCATGGGCCGGGCCAGGCCCCACAGCTCCTAGGCCTTTGCCTGGAGTTGCCCCTCTCCCCGCCCCTTGCATTGTGCCTCCCCTGGCAGCGTCTCTCTGCAGCCTGGTATGAGGGGCTGCTGCTGAGCCTGTCTGAAAAAAGCAAAACGGGGGGCATTTCATTTCTGCTCTTGGTTACTCTTGTGGGCGCTGAGTCCCTTTGAAACAGCTTCGCTGTGCCCCACGGTTCATCCCACCAGGAGGGCGGGCATAATAAGAGCTGGGAGCATTGTTTAGTCCCTGCTGTTTCTATGGCACCAGTGACATTGTGTTTTTTGGCAGCAACCCTCTATGGGCGTTGTTAATACCTGTGGCAGCAGCTGTTCCAGGAACGCCGTTGAATTACCCCGGCACGGCAGAGAAAGCTCCTTGCCAAACCAGACCAGACAAGTCTGATTTAGCCCTGGTGTGGGCAAACCTACCCCATGCAGACCTGTCTGCTTTGCATCAAAACCTGGTTGTTAAAGCCACTGGCTTTTTCCAGAGTAGACAGGTCCTAAAGCTAACTCTTGGCAGCTGACGAGACAGGTTGACCTGGTGGATACTGGCCTATATGCCTCAATCTCTGTCCCTAGTCTGCGGGGTGACCTTGAGTAAGTCATTTTCAGGTTCCATGCCTCAGTTTCCCCACCTGTAATATGGGGTCATTATCTTGCCTTCCTTTCTCAAGTACATTCTGATCTACTAAAATTCACAAGGTGTTAATATTTTAGTGCGTTTCTCCAAAATGTGACCAAGGAGCTGCTAAAGAAAGTCTGTTTTTTAAAAATAAAGACCTAAGGGGACGTAATAATAAATACTAGATACAATATCAAATAATGAGAAGTGGGATTGCTATGCTATCCCTCTTAGACCAGAGCCCCGTCGTACAAACACAGCGAGAGACAGTCCCTGCCCCAGCTGAGATCAGGCCCTGTCATGCCGGGCGCTGCACAGACACAGCGAGAGACAGTCCCTGCCCCAGCTGAGATCAGGGCCCCGTTGTGCCGGGCGCTGCACAGACACAGCGAGAGACAGTCCCTGCCCCAGCTGAGATCAGGCCCTGTTGTGCCGGGCGCTGCACAGACACTGTGACAGACAGCCTCCCATACAGAGTTGTCTGGGGCCTGAGGCTTAGAATTGAAAATACAGCAAAAGGCTAGTGACTCCCAACCCAGTTGCTATGGTGTTGCCTAGCGGCCGCCCGGAACTACTGACATGATTTAAAGGTCTCGCAGAACTGGCCACTGAGAATGTAGCACTGCAGCTAGGAGCTGTAAGTCATTTAAATAGGATCCTGCTGCCTGAGCCACCCCTTGGAAATTCAATGGCGCAGGCCGCAGGATGTAATTAGAAGTCTGCCAAATGCAGCCTGTCAACAGGCCACATCCGGCTCCTGGGCTGCATATTGTCCAGCTTTGTCTTCAATGATCATTACTGGTTCATGTTATGGCAAAGTCCAGGAAGTCCAATCAAGGTCTAGGTCCCGATTGTGCTACGTGCTGTACCTACCAGTCATGATGCTGATAGTCTATGTAACCACACACACCTAGGCTGTGTCCACACTGGCAGGTTCTTGCACAAGAACATCTTGTGCAAGAATTCCTGTGCAAGAACTCTTGCACAAGAACACGTCCACATGGCCATGTGCTTTTGCGCAAGAGCACCCATGGCAGTGTAGACGCGCTCTTGCGCAAGAAAGCTCCAATAGTCCACACTGCCCTTTTGGGTAAGAAGGCTTACACTTGTTAGAAAGAGCGTAGCTCTTGCACAGGAAGCCCACTCTTCCCATGCTTTACTGTAACTCTTGTTGCACAAGAGTGGGTGGACAGTGTGGATGCTCTGGGGAAGAACGGCCGTTCCTGCGCAAGAACCCGCCAGTGTAGACATAGCCCTAGTGTGGGTCATTGTCCCGTGGAGATGCACTTATACCCCTTACAGCGAGTGATAAGTGGCTCTACAACCGAGGCTGAGAAGCAGCTGGCTTTTATCTCAAGCTGGAAAGGTTCCTACACTAAGTTCCAGAGGCCCCGGGTTCAAATTCTACTGGTGGTGGTTACATTTACTCCGGAGGGCTTGCCATCTGGGGGTCCGGCAGGATGCAAGCAGTTGCCAAAAGAGACCAATGTGATGGGGTTGAAGAGAGGTCACCAGAAACAACCTTTTTGCAGAAGTAAAAACTTTTGGTTTTTTGTTACAGAACTTCAGGCTGCAATCTCTGGGACCCTTTGGCTGGCTGACTGGGCCTCCAGTGTGGAATAAAGCAGCACCCAGTGCCAAAGGGTCCCAGAGAGCCTGGGAAAATATGGGGAAAGGCGAGCAGAAGACAGACAAGCCGGATAATCTGCTTCCAGTCCCAGGAGACGTGGAGAAAGGAGCAAAGTCAAGTAAGAACCTGAGTACAAATGCCCCGGGGAGTAGTTGGGGTGCGTCACTGAGTCACAGTGAGGGAACCAGAATTTCCAAAGAGGGAGGGAAGGGGAGAGAAAAAGTGTTTGGGCCCAGATCCATGGAAGTTAGCCGCAGAAATTCTGTTGTGGAGCGAGGGTCTTGGTCACCACCACAGGATCCGCTGCATTCACACCCAATTTACGTGCAACCTCCCAGTGTTGCTGCAATACCACTGAGATCAGTGGTACCTCTTGGGATCAGATGGTGGGACATAGGTGAAGATACTTAAAACGTGGGAGATCAACCCCCCTCCCAGGCAGGGTGATAGGAGTAAAGCTGAGGGCCAAGTTCGTTGAGCTTTAAAACCAGCTGGCACACACCCTGAAACCTGTCTGGGCAACGATTGTGTACACCCCCAACCTCACGTGTGTGCGACTGCACAGTGGGTGGGGCCAGCTGAGTAACTGGAGCCCAGGGCTGCCCGACTGGATGCCACACAGGAGCATGCCTTGGGTTTTGGCTCGTGCAACCTTTCCACCGTCTAGAAATGTGGGCCCGAAGACCAGGGGAAGGGCGTCTTCTAGACAGCGTCTCTGCTTAGGGTGGGAAACAAGATCTGCCCGAAGGGGTGTCGTTGCAAAGTGCAGAGCTGCTCACGAGTGCCATGGAAAGAACAGACCTAGAAAAGACTTTGGGGCCAGAGCTGGGACCCAACGGAAAGGTGCTCCTACAACGACACTGGAGTGTAGAGAATGAAGTGGAGAGGTGGCGTCACCTCTGTGTGTACATCACTGATGAAAGCATCACTGGATTCAGTGTCCACTTCTGATGTCATAAGAACGTAAGAGCGGCCAGACTGGGTCAGACCAAAGGTCCAGCCAGCCCAGTAACCTGTCTGCTGGCAGTGGCCAACGCCAAGTGCCCCAGAGGGAGTGAACAGCACAGGAAATCCTCAAGTGATCCATCCCCTGTCGCCCATTCCCAGCCTCTGACAGAAGGGAGGGACACCATCCTATTTAATAGCCATTGATGGATCTAGCCACACTTCAAAACAGGATGTTGGCACATTGGGAGACATTCAGGCTTCGTCCACACTGCAGGCGTTTAGCACCAGAATGACTGTTCTGGCGCAAAAGCTTGCGGGCCGTCTACACGGCACACGCGTTCTTGTGCAAGTAAATTGACAGGACAGCGTTGGAAGAAGAGGGCTTCTTGCACAAGAGCTCTGATGCTCCGTACGAGGAAGACGCCTTCTTGCACAAGAGCTCTGATGCTCCGTACGAGGAAGACGCCTTCTTGCACAAGAGCTCTGATGCTCCGTACGAGGAAGACGCCTTCTTGCACAAGAGCTCTGATGCTCCGTACGAGGAAGACGCCTTCTTGCACAAGAGGACGGTGAGGACAGGCAGCCAAGAGCTTTTATGCAAGAACTGGCCTCCCAGGAAAAAACGCAGGTGGCCGCTTGGATGCTCCATACCTGCACTCACAGCTCGCTACTTCCTGCTTGCTAGACCCTCCCTTCCCTTAAAGGCATAGGCACCCTGCAGACGCCGCCATCCGGCTCTGCCCTGCTGCACCCAGGAGCCCACATGTCTGCTCCAGAGGCACCCTGAGAACCTGCACCCTCCTCCCAGCAGCCACCCCAGGCCTCCCAGCAGCCACGGAGGGGCACAAAGTGGTGTGCCCCTTGCTGGTCCGGGACTGGGGCGGAGGCCCTCCTGGACGTGTGGGTGCAGGAGGAAGCCCTCCATGACCCCCGTGCCCGGTGCCGAAATGCCGACATCTTCGCCCACATGACCCAGCCCGGATCCCGCCCGGATCCTTGCACAGGTCTGGGCCAAGGTCAAAGAGTTGCACCTGGTCTATGTCAGGGCCACTGAGGGCGGGAGGAGCAGGAGCCGACACCTGCCCCCACTATGACGGGCTGCATGCCATTCTGGGCGACACGGTGATACAAGGGCCCTCACCGGCGGTGGACCTGGCCTGGAGGACGAGGGTGACCTGACCAGTGGCTCCGAAGACAAGGGAGAAGACTGCAGCACCACCGTCACCCCTCACCTCGAGCCAGTGCCCAGCAGCCGGTCTGCGGCTGGCGACGGATCCGCCGGTGAGTATCGCGCTTCTCCCTCGCACGGGCAGGGGAGGCGGGTGCCCAGGGGTGTGTGTCACTCAGGCAGTTTGAGCTGCATGCTGGCCTGAAGAGCGCCAAGGCCTCAGCACCTGCGGAGGCACTGGCAGGAGCTCCCTCTCCCAGGGGAGAGCCCCTTCCTCCTCCCCCTCCCAATTGAGAGTGTCCTCTTGCTTCCCACCCTCTGTCCCCATGTAAATAATACAGTTTTTGGTTTGTTTACAAAAAAACAGTTGTGTTGATTGGGAGGAGAGGGAATGGGGGGAGGGAAGGACTGAGGATGGGAGGGAGATGAGGACACCAGACAGAAGCAACCCTAGTGTGGGGCCTGGGAGAACATCTCTTTGAAGGCCTCCTGAACGCGCACTCCATCGTGGTGCGCCTGCCGGATGGCGGCTGTGCAGGGCTGCTCAAGTGCCCGCCCCTCGGCTTCCATCCATGCTGGGAGGAAGACCTCCCACTTCTGCTCCACTTCGTTGTGCAGCACGCAACATGCTGCCACCACCTCCACAATGTTCCATTTCGAGATGGCTGAGCAGACAATGGACTATCCCCTTGAGCCGTCCGAAGGCGCTCGCCATCTGGTTGTGGGCCCGGTTCAGGTGCTGGTTGAATCGTTCAGAATCCATGCGTCCGGTGTACGGCTGCATCAGCCGCAGCATGAGGGGGAAGGCCATGTCCCTTGCAATACACAGATACATGCGGATGTCCAACAGTCAATTCCCACTGGGGGAAGACAGTGCCCACCTCCAGGCTGTGAAATGGGCTGGAGTTTCAGTGGATGCGGGCGTCATGTGCCCTGCCCGACCACCCCACATAGATGTCTGTGAAGCAGCCGCGGTGGTCCACTAGGGCCTGGAGCACCATGGATGTTTCTACAACATCTCTGCTCCCGCTCAGGGAGCCGTTCTGAGCTCAGGGAGTGGTATTCTCTGGCAGCGGGTTAGAATGGGCCCTCTGGATTTAAATGCTGTAAGTTAGGCAGCACTGAGGCTGGCTCACACGCTGTCCTCCCATCTCCTTCCCCAAATACCCTTTGCTTGCCTGCTGTGCTTGTCTCTGGACTGCTGCCCAAAATAGTTCGGGGCTTGCCCCGGGCCCATAACAGTAATGCTGGAAAGTCAGAGAGGAAGCTAGCAAAACTAGCTGGCGGAACTTGATTGGGCAGATGAAATGGCTGGCGTTGAGTCAACGAAACCACTGGTTTTGTGACGCTGAAAAAGCAGCAGGTCTCTGAACTGCAAATGGGAGGGCTGTGGGTGGGGGGAGAGGATGAAGGTTTATTTTCTAGTTGCAGGGGCCGTCCCCATAGTCGCTCTAAACTGTGGTTCTCAAGCGTCACTGAGCTTGGAACGGCCGTGCTTCAGCAAATGCCGAAGTTTTGAAATGCCCTTTGGTCCCGCAGGGAAAGAAAAAATGGAAATTCCCCCACAGAAGGACTCTGCTGGCTTCTCATGGGATTTCAAATCATGTTCAAGGCCTCTTAGCTTATCTTCAAAGCACTGTGGGGCGTGGGCCCAATATATATAAAACACCACGGAGCAACAGATCTATTCATAATAAAATAAGCCACATCCTGTTACAACGCTGCACTGCACATGTTTCCCCCTTGGACGTGGGGGAGGGGGTAAGCCACATCCTGTTACAACGCTGCACTGCACATGCTTCCCCCTCGGGCGTGGGGGAGGGGAAGACAGAGAAAACAAAAGGCCGCTCAGATACCGTGATGAGCATGGGGTAAAAACCTGCTTTGAATAGCGCAGACCTTATTAACGTGGTTTACAATCGATTACTTGACTAGATAATCCTGAAAACGCTCCGCTTTCATAACTTTCCACCAAAAACAACAGAGTGAAAATGATACACGTTGATCATTCCCCCTAGACAATTTCAACAAAGCCAATATGTTCCTTCCAAATTGCTTCATCTGCATCAAATCAGGATTGTCCAGCAGAAATTTGGAAATTGCAACCAGTCCCAGTGGGAGAACTGATGGAGGGAAAATTCCTTCCTGACCCCAGATCTGATCCTCCAGCACATGAGAGAAGGATACACCAGCCAGGCCTCTTAGACATCTAAAGCAATTCTGATGTCAAAAGAATTCTTAAGGGATGTTTTCCCTACTGGTGTGGAGCACCCCCTACTGGCTGCTGGTGGCATTGCAAGGGGTGGGGAAGGTGCTACACTGCTAAGGGAGTACAGGGCAAAGGAGGACGTTTGGAAATTCGTTTGATGTCAGGCTGTAAAAGTTGGGTGCCCCTGTTCTAACTCATCCAGCCTGAGAGCACCGGTTGTACCAAGACGATGCACTGTGGCGTCTGTAGGGGCAGGGCTGTATCAAAGATGGACGAGTCTGCAACTGCTTCTCATGTTAGCCGGTCTACTTTAGCTCAAACCACAACAGCTCATGCCTGTAGAGCCAGAGGTCTCAGGTTCAACCCCTACTCACGACATGAGGCTAGACACTAGGGATGTGAATACGATCTGAGGAAGTGGGTCTGGCCTGTGAAAGTTCATCACCTATTAAACCATCTTGTTAGTTTTTAAAGTGGCAACAGTGCAGGGGAAAACCATCTTGTTAGTCTTTAAAGTGGCAACAGTGCAGGGGGGCTCCAGTAACACAGGCTCACTTCATTTACGCTATGACGTCCCTAGTAGAAATGAGCATGAGTGTTCTCTATAGCTGGTCTCACCAGGCGCTAGCGTGATGCCGGCAGAGGGAAGGGAAGCGGGAGACGCATTCCCTGCTGGCAGCCTGTTGCCCCTGCTCTAGCAATGGCTTCAGGTGGGGCAGGAGCCAGAAGAGGAATTGGTGTCACAATGTAGCCTACTAAGCACTGCTGTGCTAACGCAGGGGCCCCTGGTAGCTGGCTAAGGTGCAGGCAGGAGTCTGAGCTAAGACACCTGAGCTCTGCAGCTCAAGCAGGAGAGACAGGAGCTGAAATCCTAAGTTCAAACCCTGCCAACAATTCTCCCCGGGCGCTGTGTGAGGCAGAGAGAGGGATTCCCAGGGCAGCCCAGCACTAACAACGGCCTTTTCCCTTCCAGAGCCTGCCTTCCACATCTTTTACACATCATCCCCTAAAGGCACAGCTGCAGTCAAATTTTCAGTGTGTATCCTCCTCCTCATCATCCTAGTCCTGGTGATATCTCTGGCAGGTGAGTTTCCAGCCCTGCCGGCTTCGGTCTCCAGGTTTCCCCTCCCCCTGGGGAATTGTCAGGATCACAGTCCCAGCCCTAGAGCTCCCACATCCTGCAATGCCCAGGAGCAACGGGGGGAGGGGTCCTGGGACAATCAGCCCCTTTTGAGCCAGCCCCTAAAGCTGAATCCTGAGAGCTCCCGGCTGCAGCTCCCCCTCGTGAGTTTCCAGCCCTGCCGGCTTCGGTCTCCAGGTTTCCCCTCCCCCTGGGGAATTGTCAGGATCACAGTCCCAGCCCTAGAGCTCCCACATCCTGCAATGCCCAGGAGCAACGGGGGGAGGGGTCCTGGGACAATCAGCCCCTTTTGAGCCAGCCCCTAAAGCTGAATCCTGAGAGCTCCCGGCTGCAGCTCCCCCTCGTGCCAGAGATGGTGAGAGGCGGGGACGGGGGGGGGGGGGGC